CCTGGAAATGTCCAGTCTAAATGTGTGCTGTTTTCAGTGGGAAAGGGGGGAGTTGCTTTCTGTTTGTTTGTGTGTGTGTTTGTTTTTAAATGGGGTCTCACTGTGTGGCACTGCTGGCCTGGGACTCCATGTAGACCAGGCTGACCTCAAACTTCTGTGTGCTGGAATTAAAGGCATGACCCGCCATGTCTGGCTTCATGTTTACTAATGGCATCTTAGAAACAAAGTCATTTGACAGCATATTTTTTTTTCACATTTCCTAATAAAAAAATAAGCATTCCAGCTTCCTAAGGGACACTCTGTAACCTAAAACTGCTGCATAATTATCTCTCTTTCCTATCCAGATGAGTTCTCCCTTCACCTATATCTGTGTTAGGAGGGTGTAAATAATTGAATTGTTGTGTTGTAAGATACTCACTAGATAAATTGTAGAATGAATATACTGGATTATTTTCTGTAATACTTTATTTCCTAAAATACAGTGATGTCTGCAAAATCGAATAAACCACAGCTTAGAAAACATTTTAGTGTGCTGCTCCATCTGTTTATTTTTTTGGCACTACTTGTTGGGTTTGTCTTCTCACAGATTCTATTATGCAAGGATGGAACTCGTAACCTAGAGCTCTGCTAGGCTCTGAGCTGTGTTCACAGTCTCTGATACCAAGCTGACTTCTCCATTCTGTGTTCTTAGGATGTTATCAACTCAATGGTAACAACATTATCCGTGCTTATTGTGTCTGTGTCGGCTCTAATACCAGAAACCTCAAAAATGACAATCCTTGGAGGGGTAAGTGGAAGTTTTTTAGGTTTCTTCCAGTTGGATCAAAATGCAAATTAATTTGGAAATCTGTCAGGATCCCAGACTGCCCTACAGCACCTACTGACTTTATAATTTGTGTGAGCAAATACATTGCCTGATTAGCATAGATAGACAGGGTTTCATACTGGGATCCACCAAACAAAGAGGTCCCTGCATGTTTCTTACAGGGCTATACTAGACAGAATCTGCTGGAATCAGCTACCACTCTTAGCTCTGAAAAACCTGATGTTAAACAAGCAAAGAGGCATGATCATTTCATAGTTCCCCTTTTGAAAGGACCCATATCACTGTTAGGTGAGACAGAATATTCCCATAACTCTTCAGATGCAATATAACAGATTTCCTTACTGCACAGGATATGGTAGGAACCTTGCAAACCAAGGGTTATTCTGAGTACTGCCTAAAGAGAAGCAGGCCAACCTAGACAGACTTATTTCTGGCAAGCAAGCCCAAAGGGAAGAGGGCAGAGATGTCGCTGTACCTCTACCTGGTTTCTCCTGAGATTTGGTCATCTGACTTTCCTAGGCTCTAATCTAGAGAGCTGATTTAGAAGTGTCTTCCTTGCTCCTTTCCTGTTCTTCCTTAGCAAGGGACACATAGAACTGACCTTGATCTGCCATGACTGTCAGAACCCTAGGTTTCAACTCCTGTAGGCACTGAACAACTTTGTGAGAGATTATCAAAATTGTCTAGATAGGAGGTATGCTGAACTAACAATCCCCCACCCCCAGTTGTTCTAAAGACAGCTCTTGTAGGACCCTGAAGGGCTGCTATGCCCTGGCTGAGCCTTTCCATATGCTGCTGTCTACTAAGTAACATTCTGCGGTTCCTTTAGGATCAAAACATCCTGACCAATACATGGTGCCCCAAGAAGGGAATTTATACTTTACATCCTATTGCTCCCGAGTTGAGTTCCTGTTTTTTCCTGAGTTTGTATTTTTCCTTCCCTGGCTTGGTGTATATATATTGAACCTGCTCAGTAAAAGGTTTAGTGTTCTCTCACAACGGATGACCCGAGTCTAAGTATTTCTTTAATCCCCCAGGCCTACGCCCAAGCTCAGTACCCCAGGCAGCGCCAGAGCTGTCAAGTGGAGGTCCCACCGAGATCGGGAAAGAGAGGAGAACCTGACAGGATCGTTCCTGGAAGGAGCCAGCTGGCGGGTTCAGAGAGTGGAACATATTGGAGAAGCAGAGCAGGATCAAACTGAAAGCAGCACTATGAGAGTGTGATATTTGAATGTGCCATGGGAATTGTGAGTTCCTTTCTGTGAGTATTGGCACAGGCTGATGCAGGTAAGGAATCCTTGTATGAGGTGGATAATAGCTCCAGCTCTGAGGATGAGGAAGAAACTCTAGAAAAGGAAATAGCTTATTTAAAAGAAATATTAAAGAAATGCAAGGTCTGAAAGGGAACGGATTGAAAAGGAGAGCGACCACCTAGTAAAAACCCTTTTGTGGGCTCTCCGGAGGCCACTGCTCCTCCAGTATATGATGAATGCTCCCTGAAGGATTGGTGGGTAGCAGAGCCATCCCTAAGAAGGGGGTGATTTTTTTCTAAAACAGGTTCCAACTATGTTTACTGTGTAATGGAAGTCCCTCACCACAGTGGCCCTGGGCAAATGCTTAGGCAGCAGGTGCCTTTGTCTTTTAAGGAATTAAAGAGCCTTAATGAAGCAGTTTCCTCCTATGGGGCTTTGGCACCCTTTACTTTGGCAATTCTTGAGTCCTATAGCACCTTTAATTTAACACCAGGAGATCTGGCAACAACTATGCTGTGTGACGTTGAGTGGGGGAGACTATTTACTGTGGAGGGGAGACTATCAGGAGCAATGTGTTAGCTTGGCAACATTAAATGCACAGGCAGGGCAGCCTCAAAGAAATTTGGAAATGCTAACTGGATCAGGACAATATGCTGCTCTTCATCAGCAGATTCATTATGATCCTGCCATTTATGCCCAAATTGCCACTGCAGCCATTAGAGCCTGGAAGGCCTTGCCTAATAAAGCGGCTGGAGGTCAACTATCCAAGGTGGTCCAGAGACCCTCCGAGCCCTTTGAAGAATTTGTGAATAAACTACTCCAGTTAGCAGAAAAATTGTTTGGGGATGCTGATACTGCCATGCCAGTAGTAAAACAGTTAGCTTTCGAAAATGCCAATAAATGGTGTAAAGAAGCCATTAGACCACATAGATCAAAAACCTTAGGTGATTGTATTAAAGTTTGCAAGGAAATTGATGGAAGTTTTATTATGGGACAAATACTCGCAGCTGCCGTGCAAAAGGGATCTATCAAGAATAAAACTTGCTTTGGATGTGGCCAAGCTGGACATTTTAAGAGGGATTGTCCAGGGAACAAGGAGATTATGGGTCCTGGCCTGTGCCCTCGATGCAGAAGAGGCCATAATTGGAGTAATGAATGCAGGTCAAAAGTCAGATACTGACGGCTGCCCTCTCCCGGCTTCGGGGAAACGGGCAGTGGGGTCCTTTCTGGGGCCCACAAACAAAAGTGTACAGAGCCATGAACACCACTATTACCCCTACTCCAGATAAGTTTGTGCCTCAAACCAACCCCTTTATGTCAAAGACCTTGTCAGAGGTACCCCAGGAAGCACAGGATTGGACCTCCACTCCTCCACCAGAGCAGTATTGACACCTCAAATGGGCCCTCAGGCATTAGGTACTGGAGTGTATGGCCCCATCCCTTCAGGGAGTGTAGGCCTTCTCCTAGGATGCAGCAGTGCCTTGTTGAAGGGAATTAGGATCCTTCCGGGAGTAATAGACTCAGATTTTACTGGGGAAATTAAAATTATGGTTACTGTGGATAGGGGAGTTATAGTTATTCCCCAGGGAGATAGAATTGCTCAGCTAGTTCTCTTGCTGCAGTTACCCACTATACATGCTGCAATTAAAGATACTAGAGGTGATGAAGGGTTTGGATCCACAGGGACTGCTGCCTTCTGGGTTTCTACCCTCAAGGACCACCCTACCCTTACCCTTTCGGTTGATGGAAAGCCTATGAAAGGAATTCTGGATACTGGTGCAGATACTATTGTGATATCTAAAAGATCTTGGCCTAGTAGCTGGTCCCTGGATAGGTCCTCTTCCACCTTACAAGGAGTGGGGACAGCTGCCACACCCCTCAAGAGCAGTAAGATCTTAAAATGGCAAGATGAGGAAGGACATGAGGGATGGTTTCAACCATTTGTCTTGGAACATCTCCCCATTAGTTTATGGGGTTGAGATGTACTTAACAACATGGGAGCTGTCTTCTCAACCCAACCAGTTCAGGGCATGATGAAAAAGCAAGGAGATATTCCTGGGAAGGGATTAGGGAAATATTTACAAGGAAGACCCCATAGTGTTGCCGAAGGATGTCAGATAGTCAGACACCATAAAGACAAGACTGGAATAGGAAATTTATATTAAGGGTCACTGTGGAGCCTCCTAAACCACTACCAATCACGTGGAAATCCAACGAGCCCGTGTGGATTGAACAGTGGCCCTTATCTAAGGAAAAAATGGAGGCAGCTCATTTATTAGTACAAGAACAACTTTTGGCCGGACATATCATCCCATCTACATCCTCCTGGAATACTCCTATATTTGTTGTTAAGAAAAAATCAGGAAAATGGAGATTATTACAAGATTTAAGGAAAATTAATAAAACTATGATGCCAATGGGGGCTATTCAACTTGGATTGCCCCCACTAGTTGCTATTCCAAAAAACAATGGCACATGTTAGTGATAGATTTGAAGGATTGTTTCTTTACCATGCTCTGGCATCCTCAGGATTGCGAACGCTTTGCATTTAGTATTCCCTCAGTCGACTTTAAGGAACCATCCCATAGATATCATTGGGTGGTGCTGCCCCAAGAGATGATAATAGTCCCACCATGTATCAAGTCTACGTGGTGTCTGCTCTTCAACCATTAAGGAGAAGACATCCATGCATGTATATAATTCATTTTATGGATGATATTCTACTTAGAGCTAGGGAAGAAAAAGAGCTTTTGAGGCCTATGCCGAACTGCAAAATGACTTGCAAGCCGTTGGGTTGGTTATTGCCCCCGAGAAGGTTCAAAAGAATTTCCCATATCAATATTTAGGACATGAATTATTACAAAAGGGAATTCGACCTCAAAAGTTACAAATTAGAATAGATACTCTGAAAACTTTAAATGATATCAAACATTGTTAGGAGACATAAATTGGCTAAGACCTTCCTTACAATTAAGCACAGGACAGTTAAAACCTCTCTTTGATATTCTTAAGGGGGATGCATCACCCACTTCCCCCAGACAATTAAATGAAGAGGCCAGGGAATGCTTGAAAATGGTACAGGAAGCTCTAGAACAAGCTCATTTAAATTATGTAGACTATTCAAGGAAACTGTTATTTGTGGTTTTTGCATGAAAACATTCCCCAACGGGTGCCTTTTGGCAGGAGGGCCCTATTTTATGGGTTCACTTGCAAGCTTCACCCTCCAAGGTTGTTTTGTCTTACCCACAGACAGTGGTTTCCTTGTTGCTTAAAGCCCATAAAGTAAGCCTACAAACATTTGGTAAAGAACCAGACATGTTTATTACCCCTTATAATAAGGATCAGATCCAAATTTTATCTCAAAATTATGTTGATTGGGCCTTGTTTATTTGTACCATTAATAGCCAATTTGATAATCATTATCCAGATAATAAGTTGTGTCAGTTTTTAAAGCTCTATCCTGTGGTTTTTCCAAAAATTATTTCCAATCAGCCCTTGAATCAGGCTCACCCAGTATTTACTGATGGATCCTCCAATGGTAGGGCTGCAGTTGTTTCCCAAGGTAAAGTTGAGACCTTACAGATGACCAATTACTCTGCACAATTAGCAGAGCTAAAGGGTGTACAATTGGCACTGTCTTTGTTCCCAAATGAAGCTTGCAACATATATACTGATAGTGTATATGTTTCTCAAATTATGGAACCCTTGGAGACTGCATCTTATGTGGCACCTATGCCTTCAATTTGTTCTTGCTTACTGCAGGTGCAAGCTCTTTTATGGCAGTGAACTTTGCCTGTGTTTGTGAGTCATATTTGAGGACATTCATTGTTGCCAGGCCCTTTGGCCCAAGGTAATAATAAGGCTGATTTTCACACCAAACAAATTTTGCTTGCCTTAAATTTAGTCACTAATTATGATAAAGCTGTTGCTATGCATAATAAATTTCATCTTAATGCAAATTCCTTAAAATTTCATTGTGATATTACCAGAGAACAGGATGTTCAAATCATTACTCGCTGCCCTCACTGTGCTCAGTTTATCCCCTCCCCTAATTTGGGAGAGAATCCCCGAGGTCTTGCACCCAATGATATTTGGCAAGTGGATGTTACACATGTTTCCTCGTTTGGGAAATTACACTTCGTCCATGTTACCATTGATACCTTTTCTGGTATGATTTTTGCCTCGGCTCACAGTGGGGAAAAAATAAAAGATGTTAAGAACCATTGCCTACAGACATTTGCCTATTTTGGGGTTCCCCACCAAATAAAGACTGATAATGGCCCAGCCTATGGTAGTGTGTCCTTTAATAAATTTTGTGACGAATATAATATTACCCATAAGACCAGGGTTCCTTATAATCCACAAGGCCAGGCTATAGTGGAAAGAGCACATTTAACCTTAAAAAATTATCATGAAAAAACAAAAAGGGAGGAGTTCACCTCACCTCATGCAAGATTATCCTTTATTTTATATATTTTAATTTTTTTATTAGTGGATAAGGATGCATTGTCTGCAGCAGACAGACATTGGAAATGATCCCAGAAGGCACTGGACTTAGTGAAATGGAAAGAATTGTCATCAGGTATATGGAAAGGCCCTAACCCTGTATTAGTCAGGGTGAGAGGTTCTGTTTGTGTTTTTCCTAAAGATGCTGAAAGTCCTGTTTGGATTCCTGAGCGTTGTGTGCTCCCTGTCACTATGCAGCCTTACCCAAGTGGATATCTATTGGAGCGTTGTGATGAACCACCCAGTTTGGATGTCAATGGGGATAAGCAGTTTGATTTGACAGGTCATATCTCCCACCAAGACTACTGGAAAAACTGCTGCTAATTCTTAGAAACCAACAATTCCTTTATGTTAATATTAATGTTACTTGTGTGCAGCCTCTTTATGGAGAGAAGTTTCTAGCAGGACTCAAACTGGCCGGAAGGCTCCTTAAAGGATGGGCTAGAGGTCCTTGTCTCTGGGAGTCCTAGCCTTTGGGGCAGCCACAGCAGAATTGATATTTCTTTGCCACCTCCACAGACAGCAGATCCAGTCCCAGGCAGTTACTAAGCAGGTGCTCGTGTTGTTGGCACGAGAGAACCCTTCTGCCCGGGTTTGCCTCAGCCTTTACTGAGAATAGTTAGTCAATGACGGGCAACTTCTTTGCAGTCCTCACCTACCTAAGACAGGGGCCCTGAGGCTGGCAGGGATTCCCAATGACGGTAATTGGTATTGACAGAAGGTGACCTAAGACAGACGCTATTCGCCTATAAAATAAAAACGGGGGACCTGTAGGACCCCAAAGGGCTGGTATGCCCTGGCTGAGCCTTTCCATATGCTGCTATCTAAGTAACATTCTGCGGTTCCTTTAGGATCAAAACACCATGACTAATACATGGTGCCCCAGGAAGGGAATTTATACTTGACATCCGATTGCTCCCCAGTTGAGTTCCTGTTTTTTCCTGAGTTTGTATTTTTCCTTCCATGGCTTGGTGTATATATATTGAACCTGCTCAGTAAAAGTTTCGGCATTCTCTCACAACGGATGACCCGAGTCTGAGTATTTCTTTAATCCCCCAGGCCTAAGCCCGAGCTCGGTACCATGGGCAACACCAGAGCTGTCAAGTTCTGTCTGTCTACTCTTTCAAAAGATGAGCCAGTCAAAGGACTCAAATTCATTTGCTTATCTATTCTCTCATTCACTCATCACTTAAAAGTTGACAAAGTGGAGTTGTTCCCCAGCAGAGTGGCCAGGAGGCGTTTGGCCACCTAGCAGAGGGACTGGAGCTTGTATGGCCTGAGACAAGCTCTGTCTATAAAATATGCATTGAATTTCAGAGGTTTTATTCTCTCTCCAAAAGAACAACATAGAATATTTCACTAATAACTTTTATGACGGCGATGATCTGTAAAGGGAATGCAGCCAACTATAGATAAGCCATTAATGGAGCACTGCCCAGCCCAGGAGAGAGAGAACTGCTACTCCTCTCTGGCAGTGGAATTACACTTTGCTTACTTTCCCTTAAGCTCAATTTTCTTTTCCTCGGGCCTGCTCAGACTCCCTGCCTTACATGGATGGTACCCAGCCTTTGAAAGTTCCCTCTGGAGATTCTTATCACTCCACTTCTACAAAAGTCATATCATAACTATGGTCCCTAGGTCTTAATCTCAAGCTGCTGCCAGCACCAGCTCTTTCCCCAGACAAGTTTGGTGATAGAAAAAGCAAAGAGCTGACCAATGGAGAGAGAAATGTGGGGGTGATAGCTAAATAAGGTCAGTAGGGCTTTAAAGAACCCACACATGCTCACAGGCCAGTGCAAATCAAGATGGAGAGGCAACTTGCATTCCACCTCAGGGTTAGTGAGTTCTGCTCACTGCAGCTATCTTGTCCTTCACTGTGGGTGGGAATGGGGGAAACTCAGCCGTGCTCTCTAGCCTCCCTCCCCACTCTATGGTGGACGCTAGCACAGAGAGTAGGCTCCCTACACAACGGGCAGATCCCTGAGAATTTGCATGGCAGAAACTGATGACAGTGTCTCTGTTTGCAGGTGTTTGGTCTCCTGACAGTAATATGTACTATTGCCGATTGTGCCCTTATGTGCCAGAAACTTCAGTTAAGGCCACACGGACCTTATCAGAAAAGGTCTGCTGATGACATAGATGAAGGATAATATTTTTTGTACTCATTTTTACTAGTTATTAAATTAATTCTTTAAACTTCCATATATTTTCTGCAGATCTCATTTCAATGTGAGTACCGGCTAGTTTCATGTCAACTAGACCCAAGCTAGAGTTCATTGAAAAAGGAGTATCTCAGTAGAGAAAATATTCCCTCTTGGCAGGCCTGTGGTCATCAATCATTGATGATTGATTTGGGAGAACCCAGCTGACTGTGTGGAGTACACTTCTCTAAGGTCTTTGCATCATCACCTGCTTCTGGGTTCCTCCCTGAAATTCTGGCTCTCATTTCCCTAGAGGATGAAGTACAAGCTGTAAAGTGAAATCAACCCTTTCCTCACCAAGTTGACTTTTGTCATGCTGTTTTATCACACACTCTTAGCCAATGTGTGAGCTTGGCAGATTTCTGGACCCTGTTGCCCTTGACCAGCCTCACGGTGTATGGCTCCGGGTTGGAATCTGGCCAGGTATATCCACTAAATAACTCCAGAACCTCTTTTCTTTGGGTTGGATGGCAGCATCTCCTGGGGATGTGGTTGCTGGATCTTGAGTTTTCAGGCTAGGCCAGGTGCCTTTGTCCCACAACAAGGTCAGCAGACTGCTAGGTTAGGTAGCAGCCATGAAAAACAGGTGCACGCGGGACTGCCAGCCGTTGAAGCCAGTCCCCCGGCGGACCATCGGTCTGCGGCTCGACCCAGCCAATTGGAGGGGCAGGGCCAGCCTGACATAATCAGGCTTGGAACCCACCATGAATCCTGCATCCACCAGGCGTGGGTCCAGCCGCTCAACTTCAGGACCTCGAATCTTGGATGCTTCCTCCCCTTTGGAGTCACAGTTGTATGTTGCCTCTGCTGCACCTCACCGGAGACCTTCAGTACCTGGAACACCAACCAGCCAGGGACCTTCAATACCTGGAACACCATCCCGCCTGGGACCTTCAGTACCTGGAACACCAACCAGCCAGGGACCTTCAATACCTGGAACACCATCCCGCCTGGGACCTTCAGTACCAGGAACACCAATCAGCCAGGGACCTTCAATACCCGGAACACCAACCAGCCAGGGACCTTCAATACCCGGAACACCATCCCGCCAGCGATCTTTTGTACACGCCACACCATCCAACCAGAGACCTTTAGTACGGGGCACATCATCCACCAGGTCCTTGCAGTCAGTGCACAGAGATCGCAGTGCAGACAAATTACCAAAGAAACACACCCAGCAGGAGAATGTGCCGCCAACTCGACCGCTCCAAGGGACTAAGAAACCTGAAACAGTCAAAACACAGGCTGAGAGCCAGGACAAGGAAGTAAAAAGATTCAGAGAGAGCTTCTGGTATTTTTGTTTCTCAGCCAATGGGATGTTGAAGATCTTGAGGATGGTGAGCAGGAGCTGCCAGCTGATTAGCTGGGTGGAGGGAGGGTGGTGGGTGGAGGTGGCTTCAGAAGTTGAGTACGAAATTGCTGCTTCTGCAAAGTCTCCACGGTTCCCTCTACCTCAGTTTTCTGACCCCTATCTTGTATCCAGCACTTTTTTTTTTTTTGGACATTGTATTGCTATGTAGTTCTGGCTGGCCTAGAGCTCACTATGTAAACCAGGCTAGCCTTGAACTCAGAGATTATCTGCCTGCATCTGCCTCCAGAGTGCTGGAACTAAATACTGACCCACCACGCTCAGTATCACACATCATTTCTCAGTCCTAAAGGTTTCCCCTGTCCTCCTCCTTTTAGGGTTTCCCCTCACAAATCAAAGTAGGGAAACACTGAGTAAATAACAGCGTTGTAATCTAGCAAGCACAACCGATAAGAGCGGCCATCCAGAAGAGCCAGTCAAGCAGCGCACAAGAGAAAAGAATTCAGGACAAAGGGAAGAGAGGCAGACATTTAAAGTTAATGTCAGAATGGGGGAGTGCTCCCAACCGTTCCTGACAGAGAGAGGACCTGCGGATGGGGGCACAAATCTTCTGGGAAGGAAAGTTTCATGATCCAAACTGAGCCCAAAATAGAGAGACTCGAAGGGAACAATGCACAAAACAAAGGAAAAGCAAGGGGCCTGTAAAGTGGCTAAGTGTGGAAAGCCTGCTAGGACCACACCCAAAGACCAGACTGCAATCCCCAGAAGTCAAGTGGAGGAAGGAGAGAAGCATCCCTTGCGATTATCGTCTGACCCCCACATGCGCCCACTCCTGTAACCATCTCCTCAAACACAAACAAATGGGTGTTAGTTTGTTATTTTAATTCTAAAACGATCTTTCCCTAAAGTATTTCTTAAAAAGTGAATCAGACCCAGGGTTGATTTCAGGGTGAACGCTTTCAAAGCATAAGATATCATTCAGATGATGTTCAAACTTTATTTATTTTTATAGAAACAAGCATTGGGGGATGATTTGCTTTGCTGAAGACTGAATCCTGGCACTTGCATTTGTAAAAAAAAAAAAAAAAAAAAAGCTACCACTGAGCTATGTCCCTATCCCCTCTTGAGTGACGATTAAAAAATAATAATAAATATAAAATAATAAAATATAAAAATAAATAAAATATAAAAATAAATAAAATATAAAAATATAAAATAATAACAATAAAGTTAGTCAGACACTGACATCAAAACTTGATCAGGTTTAGAAAAAGCAAACAAAATAGAGATCTCACAGAACCAAAGCAAAGATTAATGTACAGGTCCAGGATGATTAGCAAGTGTGACAACACGGGATGGATCCCAGAATGGGAAAAAAAGGTTACCATATTAAAAAAAAAAATCTTTATTTTTAAAGCATATATCTCAAAGAGGAAAACAAGGGTGATTTCCTATTAGAGCTCCTAAAATAAGCCACCATATTATAAGTAAAATGTTATGAGATTAAATCAAGCAGTGTCTGAGAACATGTGAAAACATGTACATTTGATGCTGATGCCCAGGAAGGAGGAGGAGGAGGAGGAAGAAGAAGAGGAGGAGGAAGAAAAGGGGAAGTTGGAAGATAAGCATAGAGGTTTCACTGCCATTCTAAAACTAAACATCTTACCCAGAATCAGCAAGGTCTTTCGTTAAGGTATCACAAGTATTCTTATTCAAGAGATATAAGAGAGGGGATGCCTTCCAGTTAGTGAGTGCCTTTCCGGGATGACAATCACTCCAGAATTCCTCATCATGATGGAGGAAAGGAAATGAGACTGTCTGAAGATCTATTTCTTTCCACTGGCACAATCACAAATCTGAAATCCACTGGGAGATCATACAGAACAAAATAACTTAGCAGGGTGGCAATCAAATTAGTAAACTAAAAAGCTTTCCTATAATCAACTAAAATGTAAGAAACCAAGCCAGTGATGAACACCTTGATTGAATCCCAGCATTTGGGAGACAGAGGCAGACAGATCTCTGTGAGTTCAAAGCCACCCTGGTCTACATGGCAAGACCCTCTCTCTAAAGCAAAATCAAACAAGCAAAATCAAAAGGAAATGTTTCTCTTCACTACAGTCATCAAGACGATCAATATTTAGCAGAGATGTAAAAATAAAAACCTAAATCAGAAGAAAACTTCAAAACCTTCCCAGGGGAGAAAACACACTAAAGTAACAATTTGTTATGGATTCAAAGTTAGATGAAATCCTAATGAAATGCCCCCAGGTTTGATGTAGAAACACAACCAAGATACACGTGGGTGTCATAAGCAGTCTGAAATGGAAAATGAGAGCATTGGATCAAGCAGGAACACTAGTGAGCCACCCTACCATATGGAAAGCACTCTGGAGGCTGGAGAAATGGCTCAGCACTAAAACTGGGGTCAGATTTCAGCATAGGTGGCTCACAATCCCCTATGGATCTGACAGCCTTCTCTGGCCTCTGTGAACACACACACACACACACACACACATAACAGAGAGAGAGCATTTTTAAAAGAAAAGTACTTTAAAATTAAAAATGTAATGAGAGAATAGTTTGGAAAGAGATACAAATACATCTGAGAATAGGAGATGACAAAGGTGGCAATTAGTCGAAGTCCAAGCATCTTCCAGGGACTGACTGAGATAACAGTCTGTTTGGACAGAAAAAAAGCCTGAGGTTCCACCTCACAATTCCAGTCAAATTCAACATCTGTTTACTTCTATATTTACTGGTAAATACTTGGATTTCCTTCTAGAAATACAGACCAATAGTTGAGATCTCTCCTGAGGAGACAGACTTGCTAGGAGTGGTGACTGTCACCTCTAATCCCAGCACTTAGGAGGCAAAGGCAGACAGATCTCTGAGAGTTGGAGGCCAGCTCATAATAGTGAATTTCAGGCCAGCCAGGGCTGCATAAGGAGATCCTATAAACACAGAGAAGGACTAGGTCTGGATAGAGAAGAAGGAAGAAGTTTAAGAACTTCTTTGGTTACCAGGCAGTGGTGGCTCACGCCTTTAATCCCAGCACTTGGGAGGCAGAGGCAGGTGGATCTCTGTGAGTTCCAGGTCAGCCTGGTCTACAAAGGGAGTTCGAAGACCGCCAGGGTTATACAGAGAAACCCTTGAGAAACCGACTACTGTTCTGTGTCCAGTCTTTATTATTTGCATATATTTTAACATCTCCATGTATTATTTAATTTCCAAAACTGCTTTTAAGTAAGGCTGGGAATGTAGCTCAGTAGTAGGTTTGCTTGCCCAGCATGATGAAGGCCCTGTGCTTGATCGCTACCACTGAAAAATTAATTACTTAATTGAAAATTGTACATTGAAAAGTAGGAGTGTAACTCAGTAGTAGAATGTTTACCTGCATACACCAGGCTCTGAGCTCACTCCTCAGTACCACAAAATAAATAAGTATATTAACTTAAGACAATATTGAAACCAGAATATTCAATGGCAAACAATCCAGGCACATGCTGGAAAGATGGCTCTGAAGAAAAAGTGCTTGGTGCAAGGCCTGACCTCGTGAGGTCAGACCCTCAGAAGCCACCCAGAGGCTGCATGAGGTGGGATGCAGTGTGCAATCCCAGACTTCCCGCAGTAAGACGGGAAGCAGAGACAGGAGAGTAATCTTGAGGCTTGTGGGCCAGCTAGCCCAGAGTAGGTGGCATGGCAGGAACAGCAAGAGGCCCTATGCCAAACAAGGTGGCAAGTGAGGCCCGATATCCGAGGTTGACCTCTGATATTACATGCATACCCAAACCCTCACATATAAACATGTACGCAGGAACATACACATGCACACACATACACATATACACATACACACACATGAATGCACAAACACACATTTTAAAAAGGAAACTATTGCAATATCATACAATTAAATGTAACAAATGTTGCCTGTTCATAGTTGCTACTGGGAAATAGCTGTTTGCATTGAACAAACCTGTTCTCTCCTTGCAGTGCATGACTGCAACCTCGGTGTTTTGTTTCATCATTGGCGGTGCCCAGGACATGTTTGTAGCCATCATGATTCAGGAAACCTGCATCGTTTTATTTTTCATCATAATCTATTTGGTAATCCTTCAAAACACGATGACCTGTATCCACTGGCCTCTGCTTGTAAGTTACTCATTTTTGTAACTCAAATGTAAGCTTTCCCCATAACCCCAAGAATAAGCCTCCGGGAAGACAATGAGTTATCTAGACAAGTTCAAGACAGAGCAGTGTACTGGTCCCAGGAGAGAAACCACCCAAAGCCTAGAAAGGTCCCTTGGACTTCTCTCTCAAGGGGTGCAGTGAGGATGGCCCCTGCCTTCCAGAGTTTCTATAGCTTTGAGATGTGCATAGAGACAGCATAGTACTTCATACCAAGTACCACCCAGGACACAGGGTCCAGAAAAAAAAGCAAACTCCCATACCTCATAGCTAGCATAGGCCATTCTCTGCTGTACTGGGAACTATCCTATCAGGGCTCTGCTCTCTTCCACACGTCACACCTTTGTTTGTTTGCGTGGTCATGGGGATTGAATCTATAGCCTGTGTTCTCCATGTGAGTCCTCTACCACTGAGCTGCATCTCTGTCTCTTAAGACTCATTTTTTTTCTTTTATGTGTCTGAGTAGTTTGCCTGCCTGTGTGAAAGTGCACTTCAAGCAGGCCTGATGCTCCTAAAAGCCAGAAGATGGTGCCAGATCCCATGAAAACGGACTTAATTGTGAGCCACCACTTGGGTGCTGGGAATCCAACCTAGGTCCCCTAGAAGAAGCACCATATGTTGTTTACCACAGAGCCATCTCTTCATCTCTCTCCTTTCCTCTCCTCTCCTCTCCTCTCCTCTCCTCTCCTCTCCTCTCCTCTCCCATTTTACAGTTTATTCATTTCACTTATATGAGTACACTGTCACTGTTTTCAGACAGAAGAGGGTATTGGATCCCATTACAGATGGTTGTGAGCCACCATATGGTTGCTGGGAATTGAACTCAGGACCTCTGGAAGAACAGTCAGTGCTCTTAACCGCTGAGCCATCTCTCCAGCTCCTGCCTCCCTCTTTTTTTTTTTTGAAACAAGTTCTCAGTATGTTTTCCAGGCTAGCCTTAAGACCACTCTGCTGCACAAGCAGGTCTTGAACTTGAGTTCTTCCTGAGCAGCTGGAATTACAGGCCTCTGCTCCCAAGCCCTGCCTCAGTTCCTTATTATACATTTTTTCTAACATTAAAGGCCACATATGTTATAGCTCCATAGATATGTAGAGAGGGATATATATATATATATATATATATATATATATATAAATATATATATATTTATATATATTTATAACATGCATATAGTAAAAAACAGCCAATAGAAATACTAACCTCTTCTATAGTGTTCTAATGAAATTAAACCTATTTCTACAATGTCCTTGTCAATACCTTTTATCATACAAACTCATATCTCTGAAAAATAATAGCTATATCCCTGAAGATCCCTGTCAATCAAAAAGAAGTGTTCAAAAGTGTCCATCCTAGAGTGGATAATTGACCAGCTTAAATGTTTTGAAGTTACAGACTCATTCAAAGCTGACCATTCTCAACTCTGCATTGCAGGATCTGATCAACACTCTCATTTCAATGGCATTTCTTGGAATAGTTGGCATACTAGTCATTGGAGAAAAAGATATAGAGGATCTGCTGTATATTGGTGGGGTAAGTAGAGGCCTTCATGATTCTATTTAAGGCCAGTGTTCTAGGGCCAATGAGACGGTTCAGAGAGTAAAGGCACCTGCACCAATTCTAGTGACTTAAGTTCAAGCCCCCACACATAGGATAGAAGAGACTGACACACTCCTCTACTTCAACCTCCACAAGTGCACCAAGACACCCACATGCACATCCTCATCCACACACAAATAAAGTAATACAAACATTTTAATTGAGAATAGTATGAGTATTTCAGGACCCGGAAAAGGGAACTTGAAAGTCATCGTAATGTCATTAACAGAACAGAGAAGATACATTTATTTTCAATTGTGTGTGTGCATGTGAGTGTGTGTGTGAGAGAGATAGAATGTGTGTGAGTGTATGTGTGTGTGAGAGAGAGTGTGTGTGTGAATGTGTGTGTGTGAGAGAGAATGTGTGTGAGTATGTGTGTGTAAGAATGTGTACATCCATGCAAGTGCCTGAGGAAGTCAGAAGAGGACACTGGATCCCCTGAAACAGGAATTAAAGACATCTGTGAGCCCCCACATGGATCCTGGGAACCAAACCTGGTTCCTCAACAAGAGCAACCAGTGCTCTTGACCACTGAGCCATCTCTCCAGACACCCTTCTTTCTTGGAATTACTTCTTCAAATGATGTCAAGTTGGCTAAACCCTAAATCCATGGAACTCCATTTTAAAATGTTTTCTCCAAATAAGTTTCTTAATCTATAAAACAACTTTTACAAATAAAATCTACTACGTACAAAATATTGCAAGAAAAAACTAGGTGTCCTAGTTACCATTCCACTGCTGTGAAGAGACCCCATGACCAAGGGAACTTACAAAAGAAAGCATTTGATTTGGGACTGGCTTACAGTTGCAGAGGATGAGTCCATGGCTATCACGGTTGGGATCAGGGCAGTAGGTAGACAGGTACTGGATTAGAGCAAATGGCAAAGAGTTTATATACGATCTTCAGGCAGTAGGTAGAGAAAGGAAAAGAAAAGTCCTTTTGAAACCTCAGAGCCCGCCCCTAGTGACACACCTCTTCCAACAAGGCCACACCTCCTACTCCTTCTTACACATTCCATCAACTGGGAAACAAACATTCAAGTGTATGGCCCTAGGAGGCCCTTCTCATTAAAACTGCTTTAGTATCGCTTTGGGTTTTCTGGATGACAGAACTAAAAATAAAATACAGATATAAAATACAGATATAAAATCTATTAAATACAGATATAAAAGAAGAGGCGAGAGAGGTGGTCAGAATTGAGTAACTCAGCTTGTTCAAGGAGGGATTCTGTCTAGGTGGAAAGACCTTGTGTATGTCCTGGACCTGTGGAGACATCTCTTCAGTGTTCTTTGTTGTTTTATAAATAAGGAATCTAATCCAGCCCAGCCTCTAACTTGCTCTGTAGTTAAGGATGACCTTGAACTTCTGATTCTCCTGCTTCAGTTCCTCCCTCCTCCATGCTGGATTACAGGTTTGCACCACCACCCTCGGTTTAAACAGTGCTGGGGATCCAACCCAGGGCCTTGTGCATGCCAGGGCATCATTCTGCCAATAACAATTAAGTTACAAACCCTCTGACTTAATCTTGGAACTTTCAGGTTTAAGACACCCATGTCTTTAGGCTGACGTTAGGTACTTTTTCCTGGTTCACAAGGCTTAGATAAACTGAGTCTCAATCCTTATCAAAAGAAAGGATGCAAGAAGTAGCCAATCGAATGTTCGAAGAATGGGAAGAGTAAGGGAACCGGACTTGGTTCAAGTTTAACAGTGTGGGCAAAGTTAATCAAGAAAAGAAAACAGTTTGAGGCAGTGATACCTGTTACTGAGCATGATGGTCTGAGTTCAAGCCCTGGGATTCAAACAATGGAAGGATAAAGTCAACTTCTTCCTGTTGTCTCTGACTTTCACACATGCTGTGTCATGCACAAGACCGCGCACACACACACACACACACACACACACATACACACACACACACAGAGAGAGAGAGAGAGAGAGAGAGAGAGGAGAGACAGACAGACAGACAGAGAGACAGAGACACAGAGAGACACACACACACACACACACGAAAGAAAAGAATGAGGGCTGGAGAGATAGCTCAGTGGTTAAGAGCACTGACTGCTCTTCCAAAGGTCCTGAGTTCAATTCCCAGCAACCACATGGTGGCTCACAACCATCTGTAATGAGATCTGATGCCCTCTTCTGGTGTGTCTAACTACAGCTACAGTGTACTCATATACATAAAATAAATAAATCTTAAGAAAAAAGAAGAATGAAGAAAAAGAAAGAAACTTAAAAAAAAGAGTTTAAGTCCCTGAAATTCGTTTTAAAATTGGTGACTATTTATTTGTCAACCCCACTGGATTGTGCCAAGCTGGAGTTGGGCTCTTGGAAAAGAACCCTTTCCCCTGAGAAACTCACTAGGAAATTGTCATCAAGTAGCCCAGAGGGAAGCATTTATGGCTGGAATACCAGGCCCTACAATCCCTGGTCTCAATACAGCAACTCATCAACTGAGCTTGGTTCTGTACTGACTGGGTCCCCCACA